TCCCAGCTGGACGCTCCTCCACAGGGCGGCTTCCAGGAGGCATCCCGATCACATGCCTCAGTCGCCTCAACAGGCTGTTTTCAATGCAAGCAAGCAGGGGCTCTACTCCGAGCTCCCACCCTCCTGCTCCGACTTAAGCTGGAATTATGCTTCTGTGAAGATACATGTAAATGTCTCGGGAAAGAGCGTTGCGGTGGGCAACATGCAAACCTCCACAGCAGAATTAGCAGTTTGAGTGCACCGCCTGTCTGTCTGGAGGCCGGTTGAAAACAGACGAGAAGAAAAACGTGAAAAATGTACAAATACAGAAAGGAAATACACTCGAACGTGTTTGTATGACCTCTCAGAGAATCAGCCTTTAAACAAGGAGTACAAAGAAATATTGTATTAGCTATTTTATAATATAAGCTACGGCTAATAAATCATTTATCTCCACTGGAAGAATCTTTTAAAACTAATTATAAAACTAAACATGTTTGTTGATGCTTTCAAGAAAGTTTTTTTTGCATAAGAACTGTTTAAAAGCCCTGAATATTTCCTGCACTGATTATGAGAAATTTGCTTGTTGCATCACAACAAAACAAGGAAAAATCCACAATATTAATATACAGTGAGGTACAACTAATCACAACTTTACTGTGATTTTACCACAAGGTTATTACATAGATATCAATGCAAGTTTACAGGCGTTCCTGTGGCAGAAGTATGGCATCATTAAGGAGTAATATAGCTGTAAGGTGGCGGCGGTTTCAAGGCAAGAACAGGTCAGTAAGATCCATCAAATATCAACATTATCAATCTGCATTTTAATAAACAGTTTTTCCGTTGAGCTCTTGTAACACGAGGCTGTGGACAAATCCAGCTTCACATAGTCCAGATAAACAACTTTACATCTCATTATTTTATGCGTGTACAGTGTGCAGCCTGGTTAGGTTTCCGTGTGCGCACATGCAGCACATGTGTGTTTCTGTTTTGATAACAAACAAGAGATGGACTAATGCAGTTCATTTGCTTCGCAGGAACAAAACAGGCTGTTTTCATGAATCCGGTTCTACAGCTGAGGCGTACAAATAGTCCAATGATGTAACATTAAGCTCGGCCTGCTTCTCGGGTCACTCCTACCTGCACACTTTCAGCACACATATTTACACCAACACGTTGGTCTCTGAGGGCCGCGCTGAATCTGATCTCTATTGTGTGACTACGACGGGGAACAAACAACTTTCAGCCTCTTGTGTGTGTTCAAGCTGAATATTTTTGGGCCAAAGGTGACAGCAGCCGCACCGTGGGAACTTGTCTTCCACAAGCATGTGACTGATGACAAAGTCTTTGTTTAGTCAAAGTGGGAGAACTCAGACAGGAGCCACCATCGAGAAATGCAGCCGAAACGCACCACATGATGATGCAGCAGCCAAACATACTCATAGATGCTATTTGTATTTTAACAGCAAATATAATCCTGATGAATTTGCAGGGCATGCAACAATGACTTCAAGTCAGGACTGAATTTGAAGCCAATCCGATGCTCACTTATTTGTTGTTTACACACATGACACAACGTAGAACAAATATTTATCCGGAAGCAAATATTAGTCTTTTATTTGCAACGAGGCTTCAACATCCGTAAAGCAGATCTTCAGCTCCTCGGAGAGCGAGTTAAAACGTAGCTCTGCGCCGCTAACGCTGAATGTATAGATGAGAGCGTGTGTGTGTCGACCACACCGGGAGTTGTGTGTTTATGCATGTGTGCGTGTGTGTGTAAAGCGAGACACCTGTTCACTGGAGCCCTCTGCTTGAAGGGAGCCACTCATTATTTATGACCAGGCTTTTCTGCTCTGTTAATATGCTCTGTCTGCTTGTCTGAGCGCTGACACACACACACACACCCACACGGGGATGTACACACTCTCAAACGCACACGCAGACACTTAGAGAGGGGCATCGGTTTAACCATCATCACCACAGTGTCTATATCCTCCTCGTGAGTGTGTGTTTGCGTCCAGGCGAGCCTCCTACAACGCCGATGTGTCTCATGTCCATTTTGTCTTCCATCTTTATACTAATTGCATTTTTTCTTACTTTGCGTTCTCTTTTGTGTCGTCCTCTATTGACCAAATACAAGTTTAGATTTGGAAATATTTCAATTTCATTTGCAGTATTTCATCAAAATGTGTAATATGACTTTACTACTGCTGAATCCGTAATACTTTTTACATTTCTAGTCTAATTTTAGCATATTTATGTATATCTTCAGTAGTGTTTCATACGTCTATCGCATTGTTTTTTTACTAGGAATTGCCTTCATTCTAATGTTATGTAATTTTGTTTTGTGAGCAACATCAACCACAAGAATTTCCTTCAGGATTAATATAGTTTATCTCATCCTATTTTATACGTGTGCCGCTCTAATCAGCTGCATTTTGGTAAATCTCTAACTAACCAACACCTTCTTTCCCTGTAATAACATCAGTTCTGCTGCTGGTCAGAAAGTGTTGGTGTTTGTCTTTTATTACAACAACTGAAATATAAACACAAAGTTGTAATCTTAAGGAGCAGCAGCAGCTTAAATAAAGACAATAAAGCATGTTTATGTGCTGTTCTGTCCTGGGTGTTGCGAGTGCTGCAGCTCTGCTCTTGGGTTCTGCACTGCATGCAACCTGCTGCACGTGTGAATGAAAATTAGACCGCAAACACAACAAAACCCACAGATTTATTAAGCTCCGATGGGAACAAATCAATTATCCGAATCACGTTCTGAGGAGCGGTGTACAAAAGATTCAGCTTCTCGTTTTTATCCGACGCTACTTCGGTTGGCTAAAATAGCAAACGGCGTTGGTGGCGGGCCAAACGTTTATTCTGAAGGCAAGCTAGATAACAGGACAAAATTAAACTTGAAGCTTTAGATCTTTAGCGAGCCAAGAAGCTCCACTGCTATGTAACACCACTTTACAATAATGTAGTTACAGCACCTCCAACAAAGTGAGACGTCTTTTCTTCTGCTTCCAGTTCAGGAGGCCACTTTTTTATTCACATTCACACTCATTAAGCTTAAAAAAACTGGGACCTTCAGTATTTGAAGCAGGTTGTTTGGTGAAAATGAAGGCGTGTCGGTTGGAACGTTAGTGTAAAAGATGCATTGTAAAGAGATCCGAACCAAGTCCTTCTAAGTTGGGTCGCAACCCAACTTAAAAGGACTTGGTTCGGATCTCTTTATGTAAAACACACAGTCACAGTGATGATTCATAAAAAATAAAAGTACTTGATCTGGTTGTAAACTAGCAGATAAGTAGCACCAAAATAGTTTTTTAAAATCCAATGTCTTTAATAGTGATATTTAATCCATTATATTGTGATTTTTTTTTTGTATTTGTTGTAATATCAACATGACAAATACAATATTAACCAATGTTTAAGGGATTTCAAGCATTGGCTCAATGCAATGAATAATCAGGACATCCATGGTGTCAGTACAGAGTCTCTTTACCTAAAACAAAGTCCATTTCACCGTTACATAAGCTTAGTACTAATTACATTAACAATAAAACATATGGGTAAAATATTACATTCATAAATTAGCTTTGAGATTGACAAATACATATATATATTATATGAATAATCTAAAGACACATCTAACACATCACAGAGCTCATAGAAACATTAAGCTGCAACACCGACAGAGCTGGTTGTGAACTCGTTATTCCTGCAGTTAATTTAGCACCAAAGATATTTTAATCCAGTCAAGTTGTACAACCAGCTTTATAAACGCAGACAAGTTTCCTGAGCTTCTATCATTTTAGTGTAAGTTG